TCCTTGCAGCCGAGGGAGAGGTCCTCTCTTGTCGGGCAGTGCTTGATCATTAAGGGCTGAGAGGTTAAGTGTAAGRCCATTTAGGATAATACCTGATGGGCTAATTTTGCACCTGCCCACAGTCCCTGGGTTTTTATAAGATGGCTTGGCCCAGGGACCACTTAGTGTAAGTGTTGGGCCCATAGGGCCCATATGATGGGCTCAGGGGTTTACTGAGTTTTTTTTCAGTGAATTCTGCTAGGCCTTGTAATAAAGGCTGGGCCGAACCCATGTGGCTGGTGTGTAGATCAATACTTGGGTCCCACGTCATACAAAGAAGCCCAACCAGGCAGCAGATTGGAAACTAATTAAGCACTGATTATTTAATGGGCCAAAAGCCCATTTCGAACTGGGCTGATATGATCACCCACTTAAGGGGCGGATCTGAGATTAAGGTTAGGAAAAGGATTGAGCCTTTAACGTAATCCACTCTGGGAGACCAAATTCAAATCAAATTTGAATATGGTCACCTCCTGATAAGATCAGGAGTAAGTTAACCTAATATGAGATAGGATTAAGATCATCCCCTATCTAGATGCTGATTTGGATTGGGATGACTCTTAATTAGGAGATTTCTTAATCAAGAAGAAAAGAGGAGAAACCCTCAAAGAAAAAAAAAACAGAATTCGAACTAGGGGTTTTTCAGCAAGAAATCATCCTGCGAATTGAGAAATGATCTCATACACATTCCGGAGAGAAGAGAAGCATTCTTCGCCATCTTTATCTCAGGAATTCTCCTCCAGCCGTTGCCATTCTCTGAAAAGATTCGATCTTTGAAGAAAAGAAATTAATAAATCAGTTCTTGATATCACTTTTGCAGAAAGAACTGAAAAGATTCAATGCTCAGAGTTTCTAGAGGATTCTTGTGAAGGATTCAGTGTGTAGGACGCACTCTGCTGGTTTCGTTCCACACATTGTTGTGTCATCTTCAGCAGGAGTGGATCTTGGTGTACTCTTTGGGAGTGAACACCAACTTTGGGAGATACTGTTTCTCTGGATCAGGTATAATTTCTCCCTTGTGTTTTGGTTCAGATCTGGTTCGATTATGGTTCAAGTAGGATCCTTGAATATTATATTCTAAACTTAGGGAATTTGATTCCCAGTTAGAAGAAGATAGAAAAATTTTTGAAATTTGCCCACCCATTCCACAACCTTTTTGGCGTCCATACGATGGATCCTACCATTCTTACAAATTACATGTTGTGGAGGGCATAGTTTATTTCCATTTTCTACACTCATAAGTTGATGGGAATAGTAGATGGGTCAGTTCCTGCACCACCAAAACAAATCCCGGATCCCAACAATAATGAACAGATTATTCCCAACCCTGCTTACAAAGCATGGTTCTAGTTGGATCAGCTTGTGCTTAACTGGCTGATTTCATCATTAACCGAGAGTGTTATGTCGCAAGTGGTGGGCATGCGATCTTCTCATCAAGTTTGGAATGCACTATCAAAGTCTTTTTCTACTCTTTCTTGATCAAGGATACTTCAATTATGCAGACAACTCCAAAGCCTCAAAAAAGGTACAATGACATTCTCTGATTATGTTCACAAAGCAACGTCCATTGCAGATAATTTGTCGGTGGTTGTTGATCCCATTTCCGATGTACATCCTCTGTGGACTGGGTCCCGAATATGAATCTGTAGTTACAACAGTGACTAACAGATCTAATTTAGATCAATTGGACGTAGATGGCATCCTTGGGATTCTATTGAATCACAAGGCCTGGCTTGAACAACATAGCACCCCAACTCTTGACTCTCAATCACCATCTGCTAATATTGCCCACTTCAAATCTAAGAATTCCTCTCAGTAGCAGAACCGTGGGTTCTTGCCCAAATCAGATGGTCGTGGTCGTGGTCGGGGTCATGGACCTCACCCAAATAACAAGTCCAATAATTCAGGTGGGCGTGGGTGTAATACAATCATATGCCAACTCTATAACAAGCTTGGGCATGCTGCTCCAAAATGCAGACACCGCTATGATTACAATTTCTAGAATGATGATGCTAATTCCTCTGCTTTTCAAAGCAATGTTGCCACAACCTTTGATCCTATGTAGTATCCCAACACTGGTGCCACACATCATATGACACTAGACAGCGATAATCTACAAAGTCAATCTGAATATAGTGGTGGTGATCAAGTGAAAGTTGGTAATGGTTCAGGTTTGAAGATATCTCATGTTGGATCTTCTATATTTACTTCTAATCCTTACCAATTCACTACAAGAAAAATGACTTTTAGCGGTATAAATGCAAAACTGCTGCTAATACTAGTGTGACTGTCGCTAAAAGTCTTTTTAGCTGCAGTAGTTGCAACTGCCGCTAAAACTAATTTAGTTGCCACTATAAGTTTGGCGCATGCTTTTTTTTCAAACCTTTTTTTTTCTTAATTTTCTTCGAATTACCTGTGTTCTCTATATTCATTTTAACTGAAATAAAATACCAAAAAACACCAATTACAATAAAATTTAAACAACCATTCTCCATTCAAAATGTTTGAATCACAAATACAATTTAGTTCATAACATATTGTACAATTATAGGAAATGGCCCATTGTCTTCTACTACTTTGGTTTGGAGGAACATTCTTTATGGGCCTCAGGCAGGCTTCTTATGGCCCTCTCACATGAACTTAATAGTCGAACACTACATAGTTCCTAGACAAACGGTACATGAGAGCTTCTATGGTTACTAGAAATTGGAATTCAAACCATTTATGAATCCATATCCCCTTTGGTCAATGAAAGGCCTGGACCAAGTGATGCACTCGTAGAGCCAACATAAAAGGCTCCTCCTATAACAAAACAGGCTTCTATGGTGCATCTTCAAGTTCTAGAATAGATGCCCAACATTTCCTTCGTGTGCTTGTGGAAAAGGATCTAGAATAAAAAAAGAAGGCATTCATTTGGACATGTGTAACCCATAACTGTCCTCAACCATTTACTTCTAATCTTCTGACAAAATTCATCAGGCAGGCTTTTTGGTGATTCCACTAGTAGAAAGCAAATACATTATAGTAATGCAAACACACTTTCTGCTGTTATTGCTTTAGGATCTTTTGTAAACTTGAGACCATTGACCACAAAGTGTGATACATCACTGAGTTCGACAACAACACTCATCATCTTCAACTCGTTTTCTTACCATTAGAAAGCATCATCAATGAGAGGAAGATCAGAAATTTGGGATAGTGAACCCCATTTTGAGTCAAATTGAATTGAGCCTTTTGCAGAATTGTATCCATGACTGGCTTTCAACCGGTTCTTGTCAGCTAAGCAATTCTTTTCTATAAATCTGGAAGCAAACCCACCTGTGTCCTGGACTGTGTGTATCCTCCTTATATACTTGAGCAACGAAAATGCATAATTTGGTGTTACCTTCCTAGGTCCTTGGGAAATTTTAAACCTTCTGTTACAAAATCAAACCACTCATCCAAATCAATCACAACACCCATTCTTTCAGCTCATTCTTTAGGGAATATATGCTCTTCTCATAGTAAGAATCATCAATTAAAGGAAGATCAGCAATCTGAGAGAGTTTCCCATTCAGAATCCCAAAGAATTGAATCTAAAGCAGCCCCATCTCTGCTTAATGTGGTTACTTCGGCATCCAGAGGTAAAAATAGATTGATCAACATATTTGTAACCTTGGGAAGTCTTCAATGTTACTTTTTCTTTAAGTTTCCCTGTGATGTCACCAGGAAGCACATCCCTCTCATTCAAGTACCTGATAAATTTCAACAATGGAATTGCAACTTCCTTAGTTAAACTGGTCAATTCGACAGAGATATAAGGTATTCAATGATAAGTTGGCATGCTTCTGCTAACCTTGATCGGACACCAATGCACTTTAGATCACTCGTGTATAAATGTAGCCTGTTATCATAAAAGCTTTCATCAAGAATAGGAAACTTCACATGAAAATCATGCATTCCAGCAAAAATAGACTTCTCTTCTCTATTGGATAAAAAACACTGACTATGCGACTTATAGCCTAAGCAAGTTTTCAACCATCTCCCCGTTTTTATGCTTTCATCAAACAACTTTGGCAGTGCAACAGATTTAGTCCTCAAATATCTGATCCAATCCAAAAGCAAGGAAACTTCTTCCTTTTTCAAGTTGAAAAATACAAATCACAGAATAGCATCACCTGGGAATTCAAGAATATCAGTAGCTTTGATATATGATTTAACAAAGTCATAAAGCATCTCCATTGATGTATGTTCACCAGAAAAGTCAGCACTTTGTCCATATTGCTCCCCCAATTCATCATAACTTCCTGGCCATGGATTCGAGCCCAAAAGGTTCACCCATTTACTACCTTGTGCTGGGACAAGGATCTACTTGCTATTCGTTAATCCTTATTACATCCCCAAATGAATTGACAATAGGAATGGAGAAACAAATTTGAGAGTCTCCAGTTTAGTAATAAATTTCTTACAAAGAGATAAGTGAAAATAGGTCGAGCAAAATCAAACAAAGTGATTTCTTGTATTCTTGCAATATGGTGCAGCCATGAAATCAGAGTATCTCTTCTAGGAAACTTTCTCAGTGCCATTTGAATGGAATTGGGCAATAAAAACATCTTCCTGCAACCCAGTTCCATGTTCCATTTGTTTACCCATGCATGATGTTCATCATCTGACAAAAAAGTTCTCTGTTTTGTTGTTTGTGCAGAGTTAAATGAAAGTAGGACATTGTTGTACTGATTAACATATTTCAAAATAGGAAGACTTGCAAGAGTTATGCATGCAAATCTGCAACACCAATTTTTTAAAATTAAGAAGAGAAGATTCAGATAAATGTTTTCTGGAGCTTGTTGAACCAAATGGCAACCTTCTATGCATTTTGCATGCCAGTCATAATTCAAATTTACCACTCCCAAAAAGGACAATATGTAATATCGAAAAGTAGGAAAGAGTCATAATTCAAATTCCTCAGCCTGCATCTTGGTTCTGATAGATTCTCTAACTCCGTTGAGCTCTTGGTAAGGTGAAGCCTCAACTGGAAGGAATTCAAATATTGAAGCACCAGTGCCTGTGATATCCTTGTATGTAATTACAAATTCCAGAGAGGGATCCACATCCGACAAGTATTCATTGTCTTCAGCATTCTGCAAAATGATCAGAGAAAGAGAAAAAACTATTTATAAGAAATTAAGAACCCAACAAATTTCTAGATGCTTGGTTTGATTGAATATTAACCCACTAAACCACTTGTTTGAGTTTGATTGAATCTTTAGGATGGAAAAATAAGAATCAGCGAATCATATAGCACCAACATAAAAAGGTTAAAATAATCCAAGGTCTTAAACTTTTGCAGTGATTCTTTAGAGAGAGAGAGAGAGAGACTTGAATGAGCTCCATGAGGAAGTAGACATTTTTGTTGTAGAGCTCAGCTGAGAGATTCTTGACTGCATGGTGCAGGTCCTCTATGAGTGGGTCTCCGTCCTATTGAGAACTTGCTTCTTATCTTATCTATATGTTCTCTTCCTGCTCTACTATTCACTGTTGCAGCCATGAACGTCAGTTTTCCAACAACATTGCTGCTCTACTATTTCAATACATATATTAATGTGCAAAATGCAGGCAGAGGCAGAAAAATATCTTACCATCCTGTCCATGCTAGGAAGAGTTTTGGTCCCAAATCAGGTCTGTCTTTGGCAAAGTTAAACATGAACATATACATAAGCATAGTAGGTTCTGCCACTCCAAGAAGCAACAAAGGCTGATCTCCAACAATAGTGTATAATCCCACACAAAGCAGTAGATGCCAATGTCCGAACTGCTGTTAGAATCCCATCTAGAAAATAGAACGAAATGCTTCTATTAATAGCTTGCAATGCAAAGGAAATCTTATCAATACCATTCGAAACTTTAGTTGGACTTCATGAGATTACCAACCTAACTAGAAAACAGAAATCAAACCACAATATAATTTATCAGTGTTACCTGTATTCCTGTCCAACTGTTCACCAAATGAAATAACTGGGATATTAGAAGCAAAGAATATGTAAGTTGTTGGAGCCAAAATCCTGAAAAAAAAAGATAATGGATGTTAACGGGCTAACGTCACAATCTTATATGGATATATCAAAATTAATCCATGAAAGAACCCTGAAATAAGAAACCAGAAACCACTGAACCCTAAAACAATGGAAGGAGGAGAGATAGCAATTTCTGAGGCAGCACACTGGGTTGTGTTGGTCCCATCTGTAAGGATCGCGGGTCTTCTAGAGGAGACAATTGTAGAATTAACTTGCTGAAACATTTTAGGAGTATCTACAACATTCTTTCCTACTGCATCAATGTAGAATGGAAGTTCTCCAAGACACATATAAGAGATTTCTAATTATCAGGCACTAATTAGAAATCCACTTAACAGAGGAGGTTATTGACGGGTCATTGTGACACTAGCAAGTGCACTAGCCACTCAAGTAATAAAGAAATGAGTAGAGTATCGTTCCCACAAGAATTTAGGTAGCAACTACTAATACTAAACCAGCCAACCCTTATCTGATTAACCAAATACTACAAGTTATTCAAATCTAAAATTCTAAACTACAAACTACCTAATAGACATTGGTTCAATCACCTTGCATTCAAGTTGAAAGAGTAAACTAAAAATTTAAATTCATGATTAAGCAATCAACCTTCTTGAATCATTCAAATGGAAGATGATTCAGCCTTGATTTGGTGAAACCCAAGGCAATGAATAGCCTCTTTCAAGCGCATGTTCATCCTATACATGAATGATGATTCTTATATCTCTATCAAGAATCTATCATTCATGCATGCATTAAATCAAACACTTCAAGGGCATCAATTCAGATTTGAATTGATCACCAACTAAATTGTGCAAGTTATCTCTAACCTTGCATGCAATTCAGTTCTTGAATAACAGATCTGAATTTCTAGAATCTCTCTTAAGCACTCTAGAAATTCCAAGAGCTAGAACAAATCGGCCAAGCTGAAATAAGAATGTTTGAATTCTTTCTCAAGCAATTCAGACATTTCAAATCTCAGATCTGAAATTTCATATTTGGATTTGTAAGAGAACAATTCGGCCAATAAATTCTTCATTTCATTCTCTCTTCAAGAAACAACAAGATTGGATCTAGTACATTCGAATGATGCAAGAAACTTAATTATATAATATGAATTCCATTACAACAAGAAAGAAAGGAAAGAAAGAAAGAGAAATTACATGAATTAAAGCTGAATTCAAATTCAAAGAAGACAAAAATTGAGTAAGAATAGAACATAGATCTCTCAATCAAGCTTTCCCCAATTCAAACTCACATTCTCTCCTTGGTTGCTTGGATCTCTTCAGCCCTTCTTCTTCTTGCATCTAGCTCTTTCTCTTCTCCTCTTCAAGAATTTCGAACTCAAGGGAATAGAGAGCCTTGAACTCTATCAATTGAACACATTCCTCCCTTCAAGAGACCTCCTTTTATAGGCTTTCAAGGAGTCTAGAGGCCTCTCTTGAAGTTTCTAGAATTGGGTGCACTTCACCCCTCTTGAACCTTCTAGAGTGCTGCCCCCTTTCTCCCTCTTGAAGCCTCTAGAAGTTGTCGCCCCTTGCTCCCTTTGGGCTGCAACTTAGCTGAGTTTTGAGCGTATTTTGGCTGCACTCTAGGCTGTTCTTAGGCTGAAATGGGCCTCCTCTTTGCTGGGCCGAATTTAACCTTCTTGCTAGGCTCTCTCTTTGGGTCCTCCCAAAGAGTGTAGCATGGGCTACATGGACCGATTGCTCCTCCATTGTTCTCTTGGCTAGGCTGGGCTAAATTAATTAAATGTTGGCTCTCTTTTCTTGCTTTATGCCTTATTTTTCTTGAGTTGGTTTTTCCCTGAATTCTTTCTTGAAATCAAACTAAGATGGGGTGAAATTTAATCAAACCGGCATAAAATCCATACAAAAACTGCATAAATTGTAAGTAAACCATGTACTCATCAGTTATAGCTCAGTTTTGTTGAATGGTCTGACAACATCAATGGGCTGGATCCAATTCCATAGACAACATCAATGAAGAAGATGAGGAAGAAGCAGAGGAGGAAGAAATCTCTATAGTCATGTTGATGATCAATCAGGAACCTAACAATAATAGCAAACAAGAAAGCATATCAATAAACACATCTAGAATGCCACTCTTGGAATTGTACTTTGAGACACATATTACCTTTGCACCTCTTGAAGGTAAATCCCGATCATCGTTTAGAATGTCTTGAAGATTTTGAGGAAGTACGGATATTACCCTTCCCACCCGATATTGTACATCACTACATGCTCTAGTCACCCTTTCAAGGTTATCTTCTATCCACCTGAGTCGTTCATCTCTATCCTCATGCCCACAACCTCCTCTTGTTGATGTAGACTCCGATGCTCTATTTCTACAACTCATGCTCAGAGTGGAAGGAGTAACGCTTAATACATACGTTCGTGCGTACCCATGTCGTTCCTCTCCAAATATTTGACCGAAGTCATCGTCATTAGGGACTGAGGACCCACCAGAAGTCGTGGCCCGTTGTGATGCCAAGTTCTCTAATTGTTCCTACAAAAGACAACACAATCGTTGTGAAGCTAATATGGGAGTTTTATATTAAAACATATAATTAACACTAAATACGTGTGTGTGTGTGTGTTCACTAGTTCAATAAACAACCATTGCCCTTCTTGATTCTGCATCTACAAGCGCCCCATCTTTCCTTCTATGTGTTTTAATCCACACAACTCCCTTACTTGGTTGTGCCCCATCACCAGTTTCCTGCATCTATACCCATACTAAGCATTAGACATTATCATCATTTTCAAGTAGTAGTATAGTTAACTGATTGTATTACCATCTCATGACGCAGTCTTGCATTACTCTTGGTCCCCCCAGAGTGTGCATATTTTTGTTGGGACCAGTTTCCTCTAGCTATAACACTCCATTTCTACAGTTTTATAGAAACTACAAGTGTAAAGCCATGTATATTGTGACATTCAAACAATATAGGTTAATCAATATAATTAAGAGATAATACCTTGCCCTCATCAGAGTTCTAAAAAGCGACAAGAATCTGCCATTGATCGCTAGGAACCCTATTTGGGCAATTCCACATTGCCTCATGGGTAAATGGATCATAGTACATGGCTTTCAAATCTGACTTGTAATCTTTCCATTTTTTTCCAATCGAGGACAATACCCACTTTCTACCTTTACTGTCTATCTCAAATTTACCCTATAAAAAACACATTTAAACCAATGTATTAGCAATTAATGTATGAATTCAAACAAATAAGCAAACCTAAATAAAAAAAAAAATCATACTAGTACAAGGTTCCAAATGTCCTCTTTACATGGAGTTGGAAATGAAGTCCACTGCTTGAAACTCAGAGGACAGAGATCGCCATTCCTTGCAATTGTTCCCATAAACTTCACTAATTTCTTTGTATTTTCTCCAATTCCTTGGCCTAGCTCATTTAATGTTATGGGTATTTTTTCTCCTGCTGGCAAGTTCCAGATATCGACAGCTCTTGTGGGGCCCCTGCCCCTCCTTTGCACTGAGGCATCTATTTCATAGTACACAAGTTAAAATATTCAAATGTGAATATGATAAAAATAGGGAGAATGACCAATCAACCCATATCAGAATTTTATAGCCCCATAGTACAGGGGGAATGCATCCTAACCGTGAATTGATGCCAAATTCATGGGCAAGATGTGGTTTATAGGGGGGGAGAGGGCTAGTAGTAGGGGGGGCTGGAATTCAGAATTCTGCATCGGGTGTATCCTTACTTCTCCGATAAAAATAAAGCCCAAAATAAAAAGTTATTCATAAAATAATACCAGCTGATCCAACAACATCTTCAGCCATAATTTCCTACGAGAAAGAAAACAAACATTTTTAATTAATTTCATGTCTACCATAATAGAACAATACAAGCATAATAATTTAAATTGCACAAGCATATTAGAATAACATATCTATTATCACATGCATCTTTTTTTGAATATTGAAAAAGTTACTTCAATACCAAAATGTAAGCAAAGTTACAACACCACAAAGAGAGCCACAAGGTGTGATCTCTCTTGAAAGTACAAATAAGTGTTAGGAATCACATTTTAATTTATGCAAACTAATCAACACCACAAATTTATTTTGGTACTTTTTTTTATTTATTATTGAATTTGTGGTTACAAGTTACATTCAACTGAAGCAACTCTTCTTTGTGGACATTATTTTGTAGTATGAGGAGTATGGAGAGGATTTCGTGGACATGTTGGATGGAATGCTCTCGTTTGTGTTATTTGACACCAGAGACAACAGCTTCATTGTTGCCCAAGATGCCATTGGGATCACCTCCCTCTATATCGGGTGGGGACTTGATGGTATATCTCATTACACCCGTGAGCTAAGTAGGCAATGTTTCTGACTACAAATTCAAAGCTCTGAGCCGCAGTTAATTTACACTCTCCTGCTTGTCTTCAGGATCAATTTGGGTATCATCTGAAATGAAAGCACTTAATGATGATTGTGAACATTTTGAAACCTTTCCCCCTGGTCACTTGTACTCAAGCAAAGCAGATGGAATGCGGAGATGGTACAACCCTCCTTAGTTCTCTAAGGCTATTCCATCAACTCCATATGATCCGCTAATCCTCAGACGTGCTTTTGAAAATGTGAGATTACTGAACAGATCCCATTAAGTTACACAACACACATACACGTGCTTACTCAAACTGTACAAAGAAAGAAAGGAAAACAGATGTAAATCATCATATAAACCTGAAGTTCCACTTGCAAAGTGAAGTTTTTCTTATGTATTTCTTTCTAATTTATGCAGGCTGTAATCAAAAGGCTAATGACTGATGTTCCCTTTGGAGTTCTGTTATCAGGGGGTCTAGATTCATCATTAGTTGCCTCCATCACGTCTAGATATTTTGCAGGCACAAAGGCTGCCAAGCAATGGAGAACACAACTCCAGTACTCCTTTTGTGTCGGCCTGGAGGTTAGTCCTAATATTTTCTTCATGATGAATACTATAGTATTGCTTTAGAATGCTTTTGCATCTCAGTTTCTAGACTTTACTCTGATGTTCAGGGCTCCCCTGATTTCAAAGCTACAAAAGAGGTTGTCGATTATCTGGGTACCATTCATCATGAGTTTCATTTTACAGTTCAGGTATTCAAACAAAATTTATACTTCTTGAGGTGAAAAATGATATATTCACATTATTTTGAAACAAAACAAAAAAATTGTTCATGCTTTTTTCTTCTAAGTGTCACAGGATGGTATTGATGCCATTGAAGATGTTATCTACCACATTGAAGCATATGGTGTCACTACAGTCAGGGCAAGTACTCCTATGTTTCTTATGTTTCGCAAGATCAAATCATTGAGAGTAAGATGGTGATCTCTGGAGGAGGCTCTGATGAAATATTTGGTGGGTACTTGTATTTTCACAAGGCTCCCAACATGAGCTTGGATCTCATCTCCCTTTACAAACTCCAAACTCAACTAGGAAACTGAACCAAAATTTCTAATTAGTGCAAAATTAAGGAAAACCTGTAGGTAATCCATAGGATTCTCAAATAAGGACTGTAAGTCTGTAACGCTTAAAAACAATTCTAACAACACCCTACTAATTCTACTACAGCTAAACAAACTAAAAACAACTCCAAGAAAAACCCGAAAATAAAAGCTTTCTAATCTCATTACAGACTTGCACCCTACAACTAAAATGACCATAACTCTTTCTAAACAGATCAAATTTAAAAGATCTTGGTTTTTGAATAGTAGCTTAATATTAATAATCTATCTAATGACACCAAAATCAAGCAAAGCATACAAGTTTTGACCCTAAAAATTAGGATAACAGAAAATTACTTGATTACTGATTTAATTTTTAAAAAAGCAAAAAATGCTGTGGAAATAATGGAAAAACCCAAACAAGTAGAGGTTTCACCAAATTTGGTGAATACAAGTTTCATTCACCAACAGAGGTTTCACCAAATTTGGTGAATGAACCAGGTGGTACAGTGTCAGGAGGGACCACTCAAGGTAAAGAGGTGGGAATGGGTGCAGAGATGGAATTGGATTCAGTTACCGCAGAAGAAAAAGAGCCTCAGCAGCAACCAGTTTCAAATAATTCAATGGTTGAAACTGGAGTGAAGACAGGTGTGTAATATTAGAGCTTAGGTAGTTTTGAAAGTTGTGATAGATGGGCTTAACACTATTCCCATGTACCTTCCCACTAACCTGCAGTACTGTTGGTTCAATTCCTTTTGATAGTCCCTGTGATTAGCCACCAAGGCATGAGATTCCTTGTAGTTAATAATGGACAAAGATACGACCATAAGAGAAAATCAGCAAATCATTTCCATATGTTAGGGAAGGGGCTGCTCTGTATTTTTGTATTTCTTTTATATAATAAGTATATAATTTAACCCACACACAACAGAAGTTCATGGTCCCCCAACAAAAGTTGTATTATTCAGAGTGATCATATTTAGAAACCTATAACGTACTAATTAATAATTTGTTTTATATGAACTGGGGCCTGTTGTAGGCTTGTTCTCATAGATGCAAAGAATATTTATTACTAACTTTTATAGTGGCCTTTTAATCAATGCCACAGATTTTGTTAAGTATATGTTAACTGGCTGCTTTGACTGAGCAGCAGAGCTCTAGATTGGGGCTTGATCTAGTAGCTAGTTAGCAAGCTAGACATAGGCCCATCAAGTTAAGACACAAATAGTAGTTAATGGGTGAACATATGTATTTGCATCCAATGTGCAACATGCATCAATCTTATTAGTTATTACCACTAGTATAGCTAGTAGCAATATGACTACTGCTAGCCTGGGTCTATAAGTGTATTGTTTTCCTATTACTAGCAGGCTTAGATCATCAGAAGGCTTTTCCAAAGCACATTTTTCTTTCTTTTAATTTTTTCTACTTCCCAAAACAAAATTTGAAATCCACAATAGGTCCCTTGTTTTACATGCCAGAGGCAGTAATGGTACTTATGCCAGAGGCAGTCCATGAAATGGCAAAGGAAGCATATTCCAAGCATCATCGGCATCATGCAACCTATGACTTGGCTTTGATCTGTTAAATATATGTAAAAGATCACATTACCAAAAGACCATAAGCACAAAAACGGAAATGCAGGTGATTGAAGCTTTTAGCATGTAAAAAATAAAAAATCTAGTTTCTGCATGCAGGGCCTTTTGGGTCCTACATTCTCCTTTCAACCCTCTAGGCATAAGGCAACTTTCAGCCCAAAAGCATTCATCAAAATTTGGCAAAACTCAACCCGAGCTGGGCTCATGCATGAAAGCTCTACTTGCAGAGGTTATTTTTATGCTTTCAGACAGAAAGTTCGAAAGACATAAGCATATTAGGAAATATGGTAGTCTCCTTTCCTATCACACTTATCGACATCTTAAGACCAAAACAGCAATTAAAAACCAAGGTAAGGGCAAATAAAACTAATAAAAATAATTACATATAGGAGTGACAGTAAAGATGCATTCCATCAAATTTGGGGTGACAGACAGAGAGGTTCAAAAGCACTCTTATCCATTTACATAATTTTAATCAGTAACAGACCCAAGGATTAATTTTAGAAAAAAAATACTATTCCTTTGTTTCCAAAGGCAGCCAGCCCCAAAACATCTATTTAAATCACAGAATGTCCATCAAGGATTGATTAACAATAGTGCAAAGTAAACTATAACCAAACTCCCTTGAGCTTAGAGTAAGCCACAAAGAAGAGCACTATAGTCACATTTGACAAAATATATCGTATCTGCCAAAAAAATTGCTCCTCCACAGAATCCTTGGACTTAAAACCCTGCACCTATAATAAGCTCTACCATTCTTTTGCAAGTATCAAAAGACCACAATACCTAATTTTGGTCACTAATCACTATAAAAGTTGATCTTAAACCAACACACACCAAAGAATTTCTAGTCGCAATGTCACATATTTGGGAATACAGTTCTCCTGATGTTGGATTAAACAAAACGTACAACTAATAAAATATATTTCTAGATCCATGATTCAAAACCAAAGGACCATAGACCTGAACTGAAGAGATATTATGAATAGCAATCGAACTTGAACAGCAACCTGTGCAGCAGGAGATTCCCTCACATATACTACTTAACCTTCAACCGAAGAAAGGGTGAAAGATAATACATAAAGTGAGGTTCTAACATTGCCTGTGTTCAGCAAGTATATGAAACAATTAACGGTTTGAACACATTATTCAGTGACACGAACGCGACTCAGTTAAACAGGAACAGGAACGTGTCTAAGCATTTAGCATTTTAGGGCTTCTTCGTCATTCCATCTAACTATCAGAAATGAAAGCAAAAGAAAATTGAATAGAAAAAGGAATATGTAACATACGACTACCAATCTGACAGAAAACCAGATGCTACCAAAAAAACGAAAGCCTACACGAATTCAATACCAACGTTTAAAACAATAACAACATTAAAGACATAAAAATGAATATGTGCTCAAGATCATTTACATACTTGCAAAAACGCCGAACAATAGAGACACACTCAAGATCAGCTGAATAAGTTCCAGAAGCATCTACGATAAACACACATAGATGAAAAGAGGAATCTCACCAGTTAATGCTGATATCTAGTTGTCTATCTGGTGGTGAGAAAGCCGAGATCTAGGTTGTCCTCTGGTTGCCGTCCGGTTGTGAGAAACTCCAGCCGAGATCGAGCGAGAGCGAGAGGGGGGGG